ATCATAATGCTTTCCAGTAGATGCATTCAAAAAGTTCTATATATGCTTTTTTGGCCCATGGAAAACACTAAATAAAATAAACTTAGTTCAACTACACATTTGGTTGAGTTGCCTCCTAAATTCATATTTGTCCTATTTTTAATATTAAATATCTAATGATTATAGGTTCGTTTGGGGTAGCTGCAGTTTTTTGTAAAAGTTGCTAAAAAGTTGTTATGGGTATTAAAAATTCTTCCTTTGAAAATGTTGGATAACAATTTTTTTATGGTTACCACATTCTACTAGATATGTTATTAAAAAGTTATTTTTTCATAATTTTTTTTAAACATCAAGAAAGTAAAATAAGACTAGTTTGAAAAAGCAAAGCGATGAGAAAGCTGTTCCAAATGGACCCTATCTTAAGTAACTTTTGAGCTTTTTGTATCATCGGTGTTCAAACAATACTTTTTATAGGTAGGGCTTCTACTACCTAAGGTACTTTTTTTTCTTTCCTTCTTTGTTTCCTATAAGTTATGACACTATAAGGAAAGCAAAACATATCATCAAAGATGAGATAACCCTATACGACATGTTCAAGCATGTACTAGGTTTACTGGATTAATTGTTCTATTGAAGATGATTCCGGGTTGGACCATGGCTCTTTGATGTTTCATCCTTTTGATTACTGTCTTAACTCATAATCTCAAAAGGGGAGTTCTTCCAACCTCGAAGTCGTCGATGATACAAGTGCTTTGAACCAAGATCGAATATCAGGTTAGAGGAATCTAAGAGTAAATTCCTAATTACGATTTTTTTATTATTTTTTCTTTCTTTTTTCAATAATGTTTGTGATTAGATTTAGTTGGGCGTGTATGTAAATTTTCTTTTTTTTGGACTTTATTTATAAATGCTCATGACCCCTTTCTATAAATAGGTCTTGGACGCTATTTGGATTAGGTTAGATGTTGAACGGAATTGAAAGATTACCTTGCCCTTTAATTCTCCCCTCTCTTTTTTTCTCCCATAGTTTCCCAGATTATTCTGAATTCTTAAATAAGGCATTCAATTTGAGGCTCTATCTAATAGCTGTTATTTTTCTCTTTTTAAAGTTATGATCCCTTTCTCAATTGCTAAGGCGATCTAACGACTCCCTCACATAAGTAACAACTTTCAAGATGCCTCTTCGAAGTTGAATCACTTACTGCAATCAGCTACTTTGAACGTTTGAACTAATGGAAAAGGCATAACTAAGGCTTCCTAACCAATGGTATTGCCACCTTAGGTCCATGGTTGCACTGTATTTCTCATGACTTAATTATTTACTATATCCAAATGCAAGTTCATGACTTAGTCATCTACTGTCAACTTACAAGAGGCAAGACAATTGTTTTATTGCCATCTTGATAAACCTTTGTCATATAGCCACCTCACTGTAGACATGTAATTGGGCCACATCTATAGTGTTATGTGATTTTCAGCTAGATTCTTTATCTTTTTCATGATGTAGATGCCTAGCTCCAAAGTCTCCAGATTCTTTACATATTTTTTAATCACTTACAACCCCACTAATCTTCTATAATGGTTGTTGACCACAACCACAACTGTTGTACTATAGTACTTGCATGTTCTTGAGTTGGTCCCTTCGCTAGCACCACTGGTCACCACTTGCTAACTCTTTGGTAAAACATTCTTTTTTTAGTTGGGGTGAATCATGTAGGATAATCATGATCATTTGATTCTTTTTCATATTGGTTTTTTGTTGTGTCCATTTAGTTTTATGCTTGTTTTTGACTATGTTACTTGTTTTAGTGTAATAATGACACATTCAGTCTTGCTTTGTTAATCCAAGTTATTCTTAGTATGTATTAAGGGCTTTATTATATAAAAGGGTGTGTAAGGGCTTATGTTTTTTTGATGATTTTTAAATAATATATTGAATTCTTTCTTTTATGTCTTCAACCTCTCATATACTCTTCATTTCTCTTCCCTTCTTTCTTGTTTATTCCTATTCTCTTTTCCTTTCTCCATGATTTGTTTCCATAACCTTATCTATCTCTCTTCTGTATTGGCAAAACACAAGGTGGCAGTTTTCTCTCTACTTTAGAGATTGTGGAAGGAAGGAGAAATCCTAATTAAGGTTTTTGGCATTCTTAATTGCTTTAATCAAATGATAAAAAAAGCATGGATCTGATGGTGTCGACGCACACTAATGTTGCATTATCCTTGTATTCCAGCATTACCAATCTCCGGCCCTTGTTAAGGAGCTTTATATCATGCAACTCTTGTCTTGTCTTTCTTCTGACCCTTGGGTGTTAACGTCAGCCAAACAACTCAACAACTCGTAAAAACTATTTTTTGACAGGACTATGGACTTGATAAGATTAATCTGTTGTGTACTATTTGAGTCTCGTTAGCAGAGGGGATGCATTGGTTTTTAGACAAATGTCTTGCCTCACTTATCTAACTGATTGATACCTTACCTATCAATAGCCCTCCTATATATGGATTATTTTGATGATGAAATGAATGCAATATTCCTCTTGCTCTACCACTTATCTTCTTCCCGTCTTATCAAGCCAGATTCTCCATTTCTTCACCTCAAGTCTCTCCCTCTCTTTTCATCCTCCCATTTGTGTTTTCTTCTTTCTAATACTTACTTTCTTCTCTTTTCTTAGCAAGATCCCACCAAGCACTCCACAAGCCCAATTGAACGCTCATCTCAACTTCATCCCAACCCAAGCAGCAGCTAAGTAGCCTTCTTTGCCATTGTCAAAGCATTACACCCTTCGTCTTTCCATAGAAAGCTTGGAAATACCATCGGGAAGAGGATCCACTCTTCGCTTCTCCCTTGAATGTTGCACCACAAGCCTCTTAACATCGCTGGGAAAGAAGATAAAATCTCTAGCCTTTTCTTGTCACAAATGTTATAATTCTCAATGTTGCAAAATGTTTTCCCTGCGTGCCTAATGCTGTTTCGGTCTCTATGGTTCCTCCATTACTTTTGGCAAAAAAAAAAAAAGGAGAAAATTTGATGCGGAAATCCAACCGTCCATGTCTATCCGAGGAGGAGCTGAAGATCGACGACCGAGATCACTTTGTTTTATTTTAAGTTTATTAAGTGTATTTGATTTCATTGTGCAATTTTCCTTTTTACACTCTTGTCTTATATAAAGCCCAAGGGGCAAATGTGTCTTTTTATTTCTTTTGAGGCCTATATATAGAGGCCCATTCTCATGTATTAGGTATGATGGAATTATAATAAAAAAATTTTGTGTTTTGCACTTGTGTTCCTTGGGAAGAACGTTAGTGAAATCCCTATGGGAGGTAGTTGGAGTTTTCACCAGCCGCAGGATAGGTTCAGGCTCGTGGCTTGAAGTCCCTGGGAGGAGGGCAACGTATCACCCGTCAGTCTTCGGAAGAGTCCAAGGCTCGCGGTTTTTTCTTTTATCTTTTATTTTTGTTTTTGTTCCTTCTTGTTGTTCCTAGTCGTCTTCTTCATCCTCCCCCTACTTCCACCATCATGTCGTCTCCATCTCCACCTTGCACCGGTCCCTTACCTGCCCCATTCAAACCGCCGGCCACACCCTCTCCCATTCCCCATTGTCTAATTTGGATAATTCCTAGTTTTGGATTGCCATAATTTAGTTGGTCTTTGAATTCAAATTTCCCCAAATTTGAAATTCAAATTCTTTCATAAATTATAAAATCTATGTTAGGAAAGTTTTCAAATTTTCCCTCAATTGGATTTTGAATTAATTAGGATGACTTAATTCATTCTAAATCTAACCCCCAAAAATTAAGGAAGCATTAAAGCCTCCTTAATTCCCACCCTCTCTCACCCCTAGCCGCCGGCTTCATCATCCTCCTCCTCCCTCCAAAACACAAATCACATCTTGAATTCTTGTCAAAGCATTTTGAATTTGAAATTCCTTTTCTAATTTAAGAGATATTTTTGGAAAGCTCCTTAATTAGCTCCTATTTGAATTTTAAATGAGAAATGATTTAATTAAATCTTTCCTATCTCATGAATCTAAATTAGGAAGCTTCTTTTAATTCTCCAAATCTCCTCCCTCTCTCCTACCCCCCCCCCCCCCCCCTTAGATTTCTTCTGGAATCTTTCCATATGCAATGTCTCTTCTTGGAAAGAGTTTAATATCCCTCACTGCTGCTGGCCGAAATTTCTTAAGGCTCATGCATTGATTTCCCTCCACTAAATCCTTCCCAAACCCCTTACAACGTTGAGTTTCCTACCTCCTAAGACTGCAGCCAGAAAATTCCAGCCATTGCCCTTGCATCCACAACAACCGGAAGCCTTATAACTGCTGTTTTAAGTAGACCAACCTGCTGTCCACCTATTCCTTTCAGCTCAAACTGCTATACCCTCGACGAAGAAGACTTCCTTTGCTATTTGGCACTTTCCCAGACTCAAAACAGCAAAGTCTCCCATGAACCCCATACCCGTTCTACATCAAAATTCCAACCAAACAGTTGCTCGCTACACAAGGTAAGCAAAATGAACAATTCTAATCTGAGGATATCCGCTATATCCTCTTAAGTGCTCTTTAGATGTGTTCAGCTGTACAAGTTAAATGTTCATTGTACTGGGTGGGCAACCTTTGAAAGCCAAAAGTTATCCATCATTTTGTGATTCAAGGAAATCATCAAATTGAGAGGGCGGCATTCCAAATTGGAGTAGCCCAGCATATAGTACAAATTATTTTCTTTTAATAGCTGTTATTAATTTATTTCATATTCATGATGCTACAGTTAGACAAGGCTTTATAGTAGGGAAATAACTTATCTTAGTTTCTAGTTTTTTTTTTTTCTGAAATTATTTTGATTGGCAAGCTTCTTAGGTGCATGTGTATTTGTGTTTGTGTTTTACCCTGTTGCTAGAAAACCAATGTCAATCTCTCTCACATTGTATTTTTATTTGTTGGTTAAATGATCTTGTATTGTATTTTGTGGAGAAAATATTCTGGGTGAGATTTTTGTAACTGACGCGCCATAAATGTTTTCAGGGACACGAGTTGACATTACGTGTACTATACAGGTTGTATCGAGAGGCTGAACAGGACCAGGATTTTCTTTCATCAAGGACAGCTACATCAGTTTATGAAACATTTTTGCTCGATGTGGTTTGTGCTGTACATTCTTTTCAATATCCATCCATAACATTTCTTTTGCTAAGTTTAAATGTTGCATGTAGGCTGAAGCTCTTCGGGACACTTTTTCAGCGTCAGATAAATCTCTTGGCAGATTACTCGGGGAAGTACCATACCTCTCCGAAAGTGTTTTGAGAATGTTAGAGTGTTTGTGTTCGCCTGAGAGCAAAGAGAAGCTGGAAACTGACTTTCAACATGGTGATAGAGTCACTCAAGGCCTAAGTGCTGTTTGGAGTCTAATTTTGCTCAGGCCCTCTAGCAGAGATAGATGTCTTCAGATTGTTTTGCAGGTTTGTTACATACAGGTTTTTGTGTTGTTATTGATTTTCCTTGGAAACATTCCATCATAAATTGTTGGGTTTTGCTTTTGTGATCTGTGCTCAATACTCAGTTTAACATCATATTTAATGCCTGGATGTATTAAACTTTATCTCAGTTCTTGTTGTGTTCAGTTAATGCTTATTTGTTTCACATAATTATGTTGAAATTTATTAAAAATTTGCTGTTACATACCATTCTTATCAGTACATAGATTTTGTGATGTGCAGTCTCATATGTTTTGTAATATTGAGTTCCCACTTGCGTTAAATGCTAAAGTTGGGCCCTTATTCCATCAAATGCAATTTATATTATAATTTTTATTAGGATTCCTAAGAAGAGTACAAATAACTGGTTAATGATTCTTAGAAGAAATACATTTTTGATGAAATTTATCACGTGAGTACTTATCGTAAACTTATGCAGGCTGATTCTTTTTGAGTTTCTAGCAAACATTACCCCAGTTAAACAAATACCATTATATTGTGCTCACCACATTATGTGCACTCTCTTCACATGTCCTTCATAAATATGATTTCCATTATTTAATGTGAAAGTCCTTTGAGACTCACTTTCAATACGGAACCAGGCAAGCTTAGTTAGAAAAGCGCCAACGTTCTGCCACTCTTATCTGATGCCTCTTTTGGCAGTATACCCCTTTTGGTTCCTGTAGTTCTCCCTTTAACATTTTATAGAAGTTTCTAGCTAATAACATTTGTCTTCTAGCTGTGACCTGTAATGTTGTGAGTTTGTAGTTCTAAGCTTTGTAAATAACTTCTTACATGATCTTAACGTTTAATTTAGTGCTAGCTGACTCTTTCCTTGCTCATGAACTCTTCGTTTATTTCACCTTTTCTTAGAGTGCCGTTCATCACTTGGAGGAAGTGCGTATGAAGGCAATACGTTTGGTGAGCCCTTTTTTCTCTTGATCTAAAAAAGAGAATCAGTCTTTTTCTTTTCTTTAGTAAATATAAATATTTTGAACTTCTTGCTTGCAGGTAGCAAATAAGTTGTTTCCAATGTCAAATATTTCTCAAAAGATTGAAGATTTTGCTTCGGAAAAGCTTCGTTCAGTGCTAGATGATCTTCCTTCCCCAGATGATGCAAGTGCCAATGAATCATCTCCCACTCTGCAAAAGGTTATTGCCTTGTATGAATACTAAATGACTTTTCCTTTCAACCGAAAGGATCTATCTGGAAAATATGCTCTTCCTTTGTTTATACAACTTTAAAATAAATTTTAAATCTATATCCTGATATAGTTAGATTGTTGATCGAATGTTATATGTAAAACTGTACTTCAGTCTATCTAATATATATATATATATATAGATCATGCCTTGTTTTTGGATGCTGCTGATGATACTTCAAGAGTTGTGGTTCCTGGAAGATTATCCTACTAATATGTTTAATTTGCATGGAGTGCCTGGAATATTTTTTGACTCCGAGCGAGCGGCTAGAATGTTTACAAGTTTACTTTTAAGAAGTAATAAAATTATATGAACATGTAATTCTACCCTTTAAAAGCAGCGAAGACTTAGTTCTCTAGACTTTCCATCTTCCAAGTGATGGGCACCTTGGCTGACAATAGCTCCTTGCTGGTTGAAGGCTACTGACGCTTGAAGGCTGCTAGCTGAATTCTCCAATGCAAAGTTCTAGCTGGATGGGAGGTTTTCTAGCGCCTGGAAAATAGCTGTATGCTTTTTTTCCTACCGAATTTCTTGTTGCAGCCACCTGCAAGAATCAGAATACCTGCCACCTACTGGGATATTCAAGAAGCTACCCTCCAAACCTCATCTACTCTCCACGTTACTGCCTTGGCTGAGCCTTTCAGCAAGATAAAAGAAGGGCTGATTGACGCCAACAAGAAAACTTGAAAGATGTTTTGCCTCGGGATTTCTCCTTATTTTCTCCTGAGTTGACTCGTAATACAGCTGTCTTCAATCCTTGGGCTGTAAGATAGAGGTGTCAATTTCGGGTCACGGGTCGGGTTCGGGTCGAACCCGAAACTGACCCGACACTATTTGGGTTCAGGTCGACCCGACCCGTTTTTGCAAACAGGTTGATTTTCTGGACCCAAACCCGATCCGTTTCGGGTCAACCCGACCCGACCCGCGGGACGCGAGACTCGAAATTGACACCGGACTGCGGGATGCGGGGCTCGCGGGACGCGCAATTGCAGGACTCGGGACACCGCAGCGGAAGCCGGCGGCAGCGTGACGTGGAATAGATTCTCTAGAAAGAGTTAGTTTTTGTGATAAAAAATTTGGGTCCCTCTCCCAAATTTTTGATTGCATCAATTGTGGCAGAGTCTGAGACTCCATTATGACCACATTCCTTCTCAACCTTTTCCAGAACCGTGCATACATATGAAATCAGGAAAATAACCGGAAATGTTTCTTAAACTTTAGGAAGGCTATTAGAGGGGATGATTTTAAATAGAGATTATACTCCCAAAACATGAGTTATGAATTCCAAAACTACACAAATGTTCTTAAAAAAATAAAAACAATCCTCTACAAAGAAAAAAAAAAAATCACAAAATGACCTTTTAAATTATCTTGCACTTTGGATTGAAGATGACACATCTTCGATGTTTTGAACAACTTCTTAATTCATAGTAGCGTGAGAGATCTGCCACATTGAATGTTGCAAATATATTAGTATCACTCAACAAGTCAATCTTTTAAGAATTTTCTCCTTATGCTTGATGATTTGAAAAGGATCCTTGGCGTTAGTTTTTAAGTTTTGCAAAAGGACATGGTGTAAACATTCCTTCCTAATGAATCCAAACTTGATCTTCTTTAATCAAGCTGAATCGTAAGATTGGTTAGCTTGACATTGGTAGATGTTTTTTTTTATTGTAATTTTTTAATAATTATATCCCATACTTGCTAATGGAGCTTCTTGATCTTATCTACTAATTTATGTACATCCAAATTAAATTTTGTTTTAGAAATCAACATAATAGGTTCAATGGGAGAAATATGATTCGTCCATGCACCACTTCAAAGGACTATGCTTGTGAGAAATAAGATCCCATTGTTGATAGTTTTGTCAAAAAAGCACTAAAAAAAATTTCCCTACTTAGCAGCCTTTGCTTACCCATTTGTTTGTAGATGATAAATAGAGTTGAATTGAAGCTTGATTCCCATTTTTTGCCATAAATTCTTCCAAAAGTGCTAAAAAATTAAATATTTTGATTGGATTTTGTAATATTATATAAGAATACAATCTCTCAAAAATAACAACAATAGATTGACAATATATGAAGTATCACTTTTCTTTTGCCAAGGGATGACATGCAACATCTTCGATAAGTCTACCACCATCATAATTGAATTGTAGTGCCTCTAGGAATTTGGAAGTCTTACCACAAAATTCATACTCACGTGAGTTTGTCTATGATGACTTTGGTGTCGAAAGGGATGTGGGTAACATTGTTCTATGGCTTCTTGATCGTATGACGTGGCAAATTTGACTTTCCTTGACAAGCTGATCTACATTCCTTTAGATTAAAGGCAAAAAAAAATTTCATGTACTAGGGTAATGATTTTGTCTTGCCCGAAGTGGCTTGCAAGCCCTCATTCATGATATTAAAATAACATAGCATTTCATAGCTAGCATTGAGGAATGCATGATCTATTTACAAAAACTCTATATCTATTTTGAAGGTGGAAATACTTAAAGTACCTTCTTAGCATTGCTGTCACATTTTCCAAAATTTTCATCATCAGGTTAAGTTCTTTGATCATCTCAAACCCAACTACCTTTTACTAGAGTGTTGAGGAGGTTGTGCATGAGACTAAGGGCATAAACGACTCTATTTTTGACACATGGGTTGTGTTTCAAGATGTATTGAAAGGTGGAAAGAATTTCAACCCACTTGATATTTTTTTTTTGTTAAAACCCATAGAGGGGCTTACGCGTTAATAGTAATAAAAAAGTGCAGAGTCCTTAAGGGAGACTAATCGCTCACTATGCTCCAACGAGCTACAAAAATAAATAAGAAAGAAAAACCTAAGAGCAAGAAGTCTCCACTACACAAAAGTACAAAAGAACCTAGGAACATTCTACTGATGCTACAGGAAAGCATCTAAAAAAGAATGCTATATATAGCAAAATGAGGCTCGAGCTTTCTACAAAAATGGTTGATGAACCCAGAAATCCAAATCACCTGCAAATTCAACCCACTTGATATTGCCTTCCCTTAAGCTTGCTTTTAATGTTAAGGTGCTTAGGGGTTTCATGATCTTTAAACAAGCTTATGAGCAAAAAAAATAATGGTTCTAATACTCTAAGGTTTGATCAATGACATATAATTCCTTTTCATATATGGAGAATCTGCGGCGTGCCTCATTTATATGGTTATTAAAGAATGTAACTCGATGGTCGCCTTGGCTTGGAAAAACCATCATGAGAAATTTGGTAATGGTGTATGTCTAGGCATTAAAGCAAGATTAACATCCCTTATCTCCTTTAAGTAGTTTCATTGATGGGGTGGCCATTGAACTGAAGTTTTTGATGAAGCATCTATAGAATATAAGTTTATGGAAGCTTTGCACATTCATAAAAAACTGAGGAATAGGTCACTCCAAGATAGCTTTGACCATTTATCCATCTATTTGGATTCTTGGACTAGATGAAAACCAAAAAATTTAAATATTGTTTTACCAAGAATTGACTTTTATTGGGGTTGGCATGCGTCCCTTGACACAACACTCTAAATAGCTGTTTAAAATGCTACAAATGTTCCTCCAAAATATGATTATACTCCAAAATATGATTATCAACCAAGATGCCATTGAAGTACAACACCACCAACTTGTTAATAAACAGACGGACTTGTGTCATAATTTGCATAAAGTTGTTTAGGCATATTAGAGAGGTCGAATGACATGACCATCCATTTGTACCCTCCATCCCTTGTTTTGGAATGCCATCTATCCTTTGTCTCCCATTTTCATGCATATTTGATGGTATCTGGCACACTTCATCTTGGAGAAGAGTGATGCTCTGTGAAATTGATAAAAAGATTGTTCAGCCTTGGTATCATGAAGCGATTTTGATGGCAATCTTGTTCACAACTTGACTGTTAATGCACATTCAGTAAGCGCCAACTTTTTTTGGAACCAACAATGCGGGTATAATATAACGGACTGACATTTTCTCATATTAGCCACTTGGCTAGGTGCTTTTCTATTAGATGTTGCAATTCTTCATACTCTTTTGTTCACATTTGATATGCTAGTTAATATGGTATAACAGCTCCTGGAATGGAATCAATCATATGATATACATCGTGTATAGAAAGCACACTTGACTGAAGATTGTTAGGAAACACATCTTGGTTTTGTGCAACGAGGGTTGGACCTCCTTTGGTGCTTGCTCATCTTCTTGACTTTCTTCCAGAACCAGTTGGGCATAAGAAGACTTGAAATTTTGCATAGCCCTCATGAACATGGATTTGGACACCAACATGCCATTCATAGCTCTTTTTTTAGCTTAATCATATATTGGTATAACTATCACTGGCGTTTTACCGTACTCCAACTTGAATGCATTCTTGTAATTGTCTTGAGTATCATGCCTATTGTTTTGCCACTATCTCTAATAATAAATGACAAGCATCCATCAGAATAATATCACACCATACCTTTTCTTAAAGTTTTTGCCAAGGGAAAATTGCACCAAGCAATTCACTATGATTTCATTTCCCTTTTGCAACTTAGAGAGCTTGCAAGGTATTCGAAGCGCTAGCATTGGAAGGTTCAACTTCATTTTAAAATGTGTTCTCGTGACTTCTCTGATATTGACGGGGCACAGTTCCCTTAGATGTGCACCAAGTGTGGAATATGTTATGGCATAGCCACTCTGATTCTTTCTTGATGCAGACATTCAACACTCGTTGTACAATAACAACTTCCCTTCATTTGCATGCAACATGTGTTCTCCTTCACTCTATGATTTATCATCTTCTTTGTCACCTTTTTCTTATGGTATTTTTTCAACGAGTGAAATGACTTATTGATTTGAGCAATTTGAACTTGTAGTGATCCTGAACCCCAACATCTGAATGGCTTGATGAGTTGAGCTTAGTTGGTGGAAGTACTTTCCTTACTATTGTTTATAGCTGGGGTTCAATTGGCTGGAACACTTCAGGGTGGAAAATGATTTGTTCCATTATGGGATTCATTGTCATTTTGTGTCTTTCTTGTATAAGTTTTGGTGGAAAATAATTGGTAGTTTGCTCGTCTTTCCACCCTTATAACTAGCTTAGTGATGCCGGATAGAGTCCAACATTACTGAAGTTGCTCGACTTCGGCTATTGGGGCTTATAAATCATCCTGAAATTTTGCAATGTTTTGCTCCTTTGGATTTGACATATCACACTTAAGCATAAATTGCTTAAATTTAATGATGTACTTCTCTACCGCCGACCATTTATGTTGGAAGTTATGGAGTTTAAGGAATCTTGATGAAAATGAGAGGGTAAGCACCGTTGTTGCAACTTTCATCTATTCCCACATTATGATTTTGCTATTCTCCCACAAAATGGAGGTATTCTTCTTCAACTTGATGGCCACCAATTTGACCCACCAATCCGTTGGCACTTTTTTGTTGCAACTCTCATCTATTCCCTTTAGGACTTTTTCTCTGCTGATTCTTGTAGCATTTGAGGGAAAGAGTTCTCTATCTCTCTGTCTTCTTGATTATCATATGAGGTGAAGGAATGTACCTCTCGTTCTTGCTGCTCATACAATACAAGTTGTTGAAAATGCTAAATTTCTCAGCTGCAAGCCCTCCATTGTGACTTCTTGAGCTGGATATTGGCTATTCCTTATTGGTAGCATCCTTCTAGGCTTTGATACCACTTAGGAACCAAGAGAATGGTTAGAAATCTTGCAAGATTATTAAAGAGTGATAACATTGCAAGAACTTGTTATTCCGTCCTTCAAAACCTTGTCTGACAATGATTCCTTGCTAGTCGAAGGCTATCGATGCTTGATGATTGCTGGCTGAATTCATCACATTGTAACTTGTTGGATGCTAGGTTTTGCGGGCACCTGGACAACCTCCAGAATTTCTTGCCGAAATCATCATTTAAGATTTAGAACATCTGCCTGCTGAAGGATTCAAGAAGCTCTTCTCCAACTCCCAACATCCCGTTGTTGCATTGGTCGAACCTGCAAGAAAAATTAAATGAAGGGCTGCTGGCCTCCTGCAAAATTATGTGGAATATATCTCACCACTCGGCCATGCCGCCAAATTCGATCCAAAATGGGTAAAGAAATTATATATTCTTATCTTCCTAGAATTTCTAGAATCCTATTTATTATTTCTTTATTATTATTCTATTTCTATTCCTCTCATTTTGTTTTGATTTGAATTTTTTACTTTCTGAATTCCTTTTCTTTTTGGATGTTGAATCCCGTTGTACTTATCTTTTTCCAAAAAAGAATTCCTCCTTTTTATTGGATCCTGTTTCTATTCTTTTCTTCGATTGATTTTATCTCAAAACACGCGTCGCTTAAAAGCTTACCTTCTCTTTTCACTTTGCCCTTGGTTTTTTTCCTTTTTTATGCCTGAGCTGAGCTGTAACTTCGCTGTCTTCAATCCCTAGGTTGTAAGCACCCAAAGAATAGAGATCAGCTGCTGTTCCCCTATACCTGATTGCCAAAAGAGTGCTCCTGCCTAAATTTCTGTCTTCTAAGGGCCTCCTGGCCTTAGATTTCAGCTGCTAGATAGTCACCTGAGTTTTGAGTGGATTTTGCGGAGTCGGAAGACTCCACCATTACCACTTTCCCTCTCCACCTCTCTTAGAACAGGGAATCATCCTGAAACCAGAAAAAATATCTTACAACTATTCTTAAAAACTGAGGAATGCTGCAATAGGGGGATGGCTTTAAATTATCCAACTTTCCCAAAATAATAATTATAAAATTACAAAAATGTCCTGCAGAAAAAAACATAAATGCAGTCCCCTACAAAGAAAAGTTACACAAATGACCCTTTTAAACTTTATCAGTTTCTCTTTCTTTGAATATTACTTTAGATTATCATATGCAATCGAAATTTCTAAGCCCATGTTTTAAATTCTATGTATTTTTTGTAGTTGTATGTTTTTGTAACATCCGTTTTCTCATTACAGATTTGTATTATACTCTTATCTTCACAGGAAGGTGATTTGAGAAAGCCCTCTAGCAGAGTGCCACCGTTTTCTGGTTCTGTGAATACCGAATCCGTATCTGAGGGTCTTTCAATAAAAAGTGCTGCATCTTCTTTTTTAGAAGCCCAAAGATGTATTTCACTTTATTTTGCACTTTGTACTAAGGTACCATCTGCACACTTGTGTCTTAAACATTTATATAAGGATTCTTATTTGTATATTTTCGTGTTTAATGTTCATTTAATCTTTAACAGAAGCATTCCCTTCTCCGGCAAATTTTTGCTATTTACAAGCGTATTCCTAAGGCTGCGATTGAGGTTTTCTCTATTCCCTTGTCATGCATAATGTTTAGTAGGTGCTGTCTGGAAAAAAGTACTTTACCATCTTTCATTTTCTGATCATCGAAATTATGCAGGCAGTTCATCGGCATATTCCCATATTGGTCCGAACAATAGGATCATCACCTGAACTCCTTAGCATTGTCTTGGATCCTCCTCCTGGAAGCGATGGCTTACTTATGCTGGTTTTTATTCTATTATCTTGTTTTTTTTTTCTATAGCTTTCATGACCAACATAGTTTTTTTGTTTTCAACTTCATAAAATGAAGAAAAATCGCAAAGCCATTGTAGCATAAATTTAAATTATGATTATGGCAATAATTTTTCTCTACTATTAGCTTCTGTTTATAATAATTGCATTTCAACGGCAGAAGATTGAAAATGGATCTATAATTTGAAATAGTGAAAAACTTCACTTGCCTACTTAAGATGGTGAAACTACATTCCCATTCTTAGTTCGAAACCTGTATCATGACATTGTTGCAGTTACTTCCTTCTGAATAAAACTAATTTCTGTGGTAGTCGATGAGCCATAAAGGTCAAACATCAACTAAGAACTTTTGCTCTACTTGCTAGTGATGAAATTTCACATTTTGTTTGGAGCAAAAGGGTTTATTGTATTCTTCTTCAGTTGAAATAATAATTTTCTTATGTATGGCAGAATCCATAGGATAAAGATAATTTATTTGGCTGATTGCTAAACCTTGTTTTCTTCGAGAGGGTTTATATTTTAAACAAATAGGCTTACAAATGTTCCAAGAGGATAGAAAAAACCTAGTCTATTTAAAGTTCCAATTGCTTGTTTTTTTTTTTGTTGAAATTTGCATTTGCATTAATAAAATAAAATAATTCAAGAAAATTACAAAGATACTATCAAGTCTCTTTTCTCTCTCAACAACCTCACAAAGGACAAGGGGAGATTAACAATCTCAACCCCTTTCCAAACAAAGGATTCAACAAGTGCTAGCTTGGCGCAAAAATAGAAGCCTTATTACAATTACTCCCAACATGATGGAACACTATATGATGAAATATAGAAAGAAAAAGCAAACTCATTCCCAAGCTGTGGTTGTTGCCTCCATTTAATATCGTTCATGTACTCCTGCTGCCACTTGATGATGTTTAAGTTCTCCTTCAATAAAGACACCTTGTGCTTCCTACATCCAAGTCTCTATCAACTCCTTAAAAAAAAGATTGGCTTGAAGCTCAAATTGAATGCTGTCCCAATTTTTTGTATGCTTCCCAACAGCCACAATCAAATCCCCTTTATCATTTCTAATCAGAACACTCATTCCTGCTGAATGGTTCTATAACATGGCTCCATCAACATTGATTTTGATCCACTCTGGAGTGGGAGGGCACTGCGGCTGATTAGACCGAGTGGTACTACCCCATTGCTCCATAAGAGGTTGAATGTGAAAATTATTTAATGAAGCCAAAACACTTGCACCAAGAATTAACGGTCTCCTGAATGACCTTCCATGCTTCTTGATATTCTGAGCCCTTCAAATTTGATACACCGAATGACAGTAAATCCAGCCTAACATTTAAAAAAAAAAAAAATCCAGCCTAACATGGGATTCTCATTAGCCCAACATTTAAGCTGTGAGCCATTAACGTGTTGAAATCCAAAGCCTGCTGCCCGTGAATAGCCCAAGCTGCAAGAGCCTGTATCACCATCCCAAGCTTACTAGAAATAGATGAAATGTGATCAATGTCTTCTCTAGCCTGATAGCCCCAAAGGCACAGATTTGAATCACTAAGCCTTCTTTTAAAAGCCAATCATGTTGGAATAGCATCATGCTGGATATGCCACCAGAAAATCGTATCCCGGGTATGTAAGTGCAGCTTTTTAATCCAACTCCATCCGTCATCACCTGCAGGAAAATTTTCTTCAAAAGCCAAAGCTGTTACGGTTTTGTTACTGGTGGATTTATTAAGCTCCTGGATGTCATGTGTTACACTAACATGGATTGTAAGAGCACTAATTCGTTCCACAGGAGTAGACCCAAAACAATTTTGAAGGCTATTGCGATCCCATTCTTGAGATTACATATAAAATCCGCAACCACTGAATCATTGTAATATTACAATTGACAAATGTTGGCCATTTCACGAGGGGGAGATCAAAAATCCAATTATGAAATAGAGTACTAACCATTGCCCCAGTTGATATCTTCCAACGTGTAATATGCTGCAACTAACAAGCTCCATCCCTTAAGACGTTCCAGGCCGGCACATATCTCTTGTTTCTTCTGCTAGAACACACATCTCCACCATATTTGGTTCTCAAAATATGATTATGTTGCAAGTCTGGCTTATTAATATCATCGCCCTCCAATCTAGCATGGAGGTGCCCTCTCTAGATCACCAATGAAAGCAGTCCTTGTCTCCCCAACCTTACGGGCTTCCAGCCAATATCCTACAAAACATAATGCATACCTTTGTGAGAAGCATCCTTCTGCCTTATAATATGCCTACACATTCTCTCAATTTGCAACATCATCTGCTTTGGTACTTCAATATTAGTTATAACATAAAGTGGGAGAGACAATAACACAATTCTGGCTAGCACAATTCTACCCGCAATTGGTAACTGACATTTCTGCCATATATTAATCATTCTAGTTGCTTTGAGCAGAAGCTTAGAAAAATCCGCTGCCTTAAGCTTCATCATCGCCATCTTTACCGCAAGATACTCCATCTCCTCAACTTTCTGAAAACTCAGAAACTTAACTATTCACCTTTTTTTTTTTCCCAAGCCACTACTTAGTGAAATAGCTGACTTATTCCAGTTAACTTGTTGACCTGTCCAAGAACAATAGTCAAGAATAATGCTATTAACTTATTTCTCAGCTCCCATAGTGGCATCTGCAAATAAAGAATATCGCCCGCATAAAGTAAATGTGAAATACTTCCCCATTGTCCGAGATGTTCACCCCAATTGCTGTCCTCTTTGATGCATAACCGGTGAAAGATGTTCAGAGTATAAAATAAAGAGGTATGGTGACAAAGAGCAGCCTTGCCTGAAGCCATAATAAGCTTGTTTCCACTCTGTTCTGCAGCCATTAATAGGAAGAGCAAATCTTGGATTTTCAATTGTTTACCCATATACCTAATACAAAAAAAAAAAGATTTTTTTTTGAGTACTTGTTTGCCTGTCTGAAGCCATCACTCGCACGATCCCGGTTGCACGTCGTTCGCACGTTTACGTCACATCACCCACGATGCTTCTGCTATGGATTGACGCTTCATTCCATCTTTAAAAGCCCGAATGAAGGAAGCTCTAAGGACGACTCTTCCTCCGCTCTTTTCTTTCCTCCCCTTGCGAGCTTCTTCAACTCCTTTGCTGTTGTTCGACTTCGCTCTCCCGACAACATTGCCTCCCTACTGCGTCGGAAGTTACAACCTTTTAGATCGGAAGTTACGAACATTTGATCGGAAGCACCAATGGGAGCTCACATGCAGTGAAGGTAACTTTCTCCCTATCGAGCGCTTCTGCGGCCTCTTTGTTGTTGTTCGACTTCGTTCTCCTGATGACGTTCCCTTCGTGTGGAATCGGAAGTTACGAACATTTGATCGGAGGCGCCAACGGGAGCTCGAGTGTAGTGAAGGTAACTTTTTCCATTTGGAGCACTACTTTGGCCAAATCCTGTTGCCAAATATCCCTTAGGGCAAGATAGCGGAGAGCAAAAGAATTAATTATAGTTAATTAAGAATAATTAATCTTAATTAATTGTAATTATTCTAATTAATTATAATTATTATAATTAATTATAGTTAATGTTCATTGATTAATTTTAATTAAAGTTAATTTTAATTAATTTTAATTAACTATAATTATCAAATTAATTATAATCATTATAATTAATTGTGATTAATTTTAAGTAATTAATTATGTTAATTTTAGTTAAATTTAATTTTAAATAATTATGATTAATTTATTACTATTTTTAATTAGAATTATTTTTAATTAATAACTTATAATTAATTATAATAACTTATAATTAATTATTTTATAATTAATTATGGTTATTTATACTTAATTATTTTAATGAATTTTAATAACTTATAATTATTTATAATTAAATAAAGATAATTTTAATTCTTTTTTATTACAATTAATTATGATTAGTTATGATTAGTTATAATTAGTTATAATTAATAAAATGGGGAAAGAAAATGTTCTCTTTGCCTCGATTAGTGTGCCGACACTACCAACCTTGCCCAGACACAGTCGCCGATGACTCTTACGCAAGTATAATGTTCCAAATCCTACTCTCGATGTGCATGACGAGCCGGTGGACCTTATATACGCGTTCTTGTAGCACGGTAAGGGGGAATCTGGTGCGATATGCGCGATGAGGTGGGTAGGCCCTATACATGCTTTTGTAGCATGGTGGGGACAACCAAGTACCATTGCTGACACTGCCAGTGCAATCCTCATCCTCAACATCAGCACCACCGACACTACTATGTAAGGTATAATGTTCCAAATCTCATTTTCGGTGTTTGCAGCGGACCGGAGAACCACCTATACACGCTCTCGCAGCATGATAGGTGGGAGCCCGGTGCGACGCATGTGGCGAGGTGGGTAAGTCCTATACACGCTCTTATAGCGTGGTGGGGAAAGCCACTTGTGTTCTCATATGAGTAATTTTGAAGACCCCATACACGCTCTTGTAGCGTGGTGTGATGAAAAGATGTATGGCCCGGTGTACCTTTGACACCTACCATACACGCTCTTGTAGCGTGGTGGGATGGTCGAGTTCCCTACATTTCTCCCAAACAGGAGATATGTCGGGATGCTGCCAAAATTTGCACTGAAGTACACAAGACTTGAACAATAATGAAGGCCTAACTCGAGCAGCAATACAGAGGACCTGTTCTTGAATAGAAATGCACAGAACTTGAACCAAATGTGCAGAGGACTTGTATGAACAACATGGAACATGACTTGAACTGAACTACAAGAAATTGAATCCTAAATCCTAAAATGCACAATCAAGATAAAATGCAAATGTCAAATAACAATTTAATGCATTTAAATGAATACATGCAAGCAAGCAGGGGACTCGTGATGAATAAGACCTTAATGCATACAAACAAGAACCAATACTCAACTCACAACATCCAAACAATCACAAACAAAGACCGATCATCAATACTTGAATACATAAGCACACAATGAATGATGCTGGTTTATACATGATGAAAACAACGTACTCCCACAACAGTTCCTATGAGGTCAAGTGTATTGTACTTGCAAGCAATAACAATCATCTATAGAATGCACGAGTATGTCCCATATGCATTAATGAAGGCCTTGATGCAAGCAACAATTTACCGGTAGAGTGAAAGGGCCCAGTTTACAAGCAATGTTAAAGGGCCCGTCATGCACACAACAATTCATATAAAAACAACAGACATTAAAAGTGGCAATGCCTTATAGTCAACATTAATTGTTCGCATGCAACTGAATACACCATACTCACAAGCTACAATAATTGATTGTGAAATGTATGAGTGTTTCTTACTTGCATCAATGAGAGTCCTGATACAAACAACAGTGTGCCTATAGATTGAGATGACAACACTGACAATCAATAGTGGAAGACCCATCCTTACAAACAAGTACAATCATCATACCACCTGAGATTGGTGAAAGGTGGATATGATGTAGGAGCAATGGTTCGTCTACAAACACTTCCATAGATCATATTGAATAGAATCGATCCCTATAAATAAACACGATCTATTTGTGGATAACAACAGTTGGTACATTGTGGAAGACCCCTGTTGACACAAAAGTATACAAGAGCATATGACAAATACAAGCATCGGCCGACTCATCGAAGGGAACCCTTGTATGAGGAGGGCACCCTTATTCCTGCAGAATGTAAAAGATGTTTGAGCAAATTCAAACTAAACTTTCTGTTGTTCCAAAGTTTCTTCTTTGCCTTTTGTTTGAGAGAAAACATCTCTAACACCTATGAGCCTTGGAAGGCAAATGATCTTCGATGTCTGACATTGCAACACAATATATAATGCACACTGATAGTGCTATGGTACTGCCTCTATCGATGTTGTTCAACCAAGGAATACAAGTACCTACTCGGATAGAATCCTCCCATAAGAAGGACACCTCCTGTCAGAATGAAAGAGATGTTTGAGCAAATTCGAACTAAACTTCATGATGTTACAAAGTTCCTTTAAGAAAATGTAAATCCCTTCAATACCTCTATGACAATCGGACTATTATTTTTATTGAAGAAGTCGGGAACGACAAGAGCACCTAGATACCTCAACTTATCTTAGAGGCTAACTACTTAACTATGAAGGCTACATATTGTACAAAATCCATAATATTATAGATCATGGAAAGGATTATTTTCAAAACAGCAATCATTGATTTCAAAGTATAGGGCATCAGAAATAATGCAATCATCTAAGGTTGAAATGATTGATTCTTTATTTAAGCCAACAATAGAAAATGATGATGATGGTATAATGGAAGAGCTGCTTATTGATTCCTATAGAAGCCTTAAAAAGACCTCCCGATGAATGAGAAAAAGGAGTTTGCATTAGAACAATAAGATATCTCGTGGGAATCAGGTGACAATACTATGATTCACCTATAAGCAAAAGCAAGAAATCTATAGTAAGAACCATGGGCCGTTGAAGCGCGACGCCACGCCATTGGATCTGCAACCTTCATATAAGCAGAAAAAAGGTGCTAGCAAAGCTTGAAATAAAACCCCGCGCATTCAACAATAATAAACACTTATGTGGTTGGACACCCCTTCATATTGCATGCAAACATCTTAAAATGCCTCTCACACATGCACCGTAATTTGTATACACATAGGTACACAAAAAGGGCATGTATAATAACACCCTCATGGGCACCGGCGAACGTGTCTTGAATACACACGTGACATCTAGGAATGCTGCGCGAGTCAATAAATGAGTGTAGTTTGAGTCCGATCCTTCTAAGCGGGTAGATAGGAGTTGGCACGGCTCGAACTATCAAACAGATATACAATCAAAATGTCGATTGAAATATCTATTTTATACGTTCATATAAGGCCTTCAACAAAGAAAATTCTTCAACAAAGACATAAAGCCTACGAAACCCGATCCTCTGTCGATAACTTGACAGTGTCCACAAGGTTCAATCCACAAATAGAAATGACCCCAAACACCCCGATGATGGCTGTGTTGAATGCTCATCTCAAATGGAGGGGTTAATTCCAAATATTTCAAATGTCATCCCAAATACCTAGAAATTCCAAAATTTAAAAATTCCAAAATCATCCAATTTTAAAATGCAAAACAATAGATTGTAATAACAAAATCAAAGCAAAAGCAAAAATCTTGATGAAATCAATCCAAAACAATAGATTGTAATAAGGGAATCAAAGCAAAAGCAAACACCAAGAATGATACAATGGATCCTCAATTCGAGAGGAGGATCGTTCTCTCCCAATCTCTAGATGATTAATCTAAAGCCCAAGACACCAAAGAACTCAAGAGAACCCCAAACAAATCCAAGCATAATCCTAACCCTAATCCTCTCTCCCATACTTAAGACATACAATTAATTATTAAAGTCCAAATTACTCCCTTGCCCTTACCGTCCTCTCCTATGCCTCAAATAGTTTGAATTTGAATTCCTAGTGGGCCCACCCCTTTCTCTCTCTCTCTTTCTCTCTGTGTGCCGCCGCTCCTCCTGTAGCAAAAAATAGGCCCCTTTGAAGGGGCCAGTTGGAGTCGGGTCGGTCCACTAGGGACCGATCTAACAAATGAAAAACATGAGAATTCACATCCCCCTCCTTGATCCATCGGAGCTTTAGCCCTTAGATGCCACGAAGTCGTGAGCCTAGCAAGGGCCACATTAAGCTTTTTCACCATAGTTCGATGAGCAGATTCTTTCTCGGCATTAATTCCATTATCTCCGCACTTTAACTGCTGAAGAGTAGCAACCTCCTTTTCTAATATAACCTTACAATCTCCCATTTCTTTTCAGCTTGTTCTTGCTTCAATAAACAAGAGCTTTCAAATTTCTAAACTAACACACTTCCTTTGAAGAATGTCAACAGCTGACCCATGACCCTCACGCCATTTGTCCCATGCAATTTTCCACATAGATGGATAAGAAACCTAGAGATCCTCAAATCTAGACCGTCTCGAGTAGCTAGAAGAAGTGGAGTTAATAGTTCTTAGTGAAATACATCTATGATCAAAGGCTAACCATACAAGGTGCTGAACCTTTGCATAAGCTGCTGGAGAGCTTCAGAATTGATAACGCACCGATTATGCTGGACCCAAATCTTGCTTGTACCAGATTTTATTTTTAGTCCAAGTGTAACGAACACCAATAAAACCAGTGTCATAAATCATTGGCAAGCATGAAATCAATCATCTCTTGAACCTCTTGTGAGTGAGAAAATGGCTTCCCACCTTTTTGTCTTCTTGAGAAAGAATGCAATTAAAATCCCCACCAAAAATAGTTTACATAGCAAATCACTGATGCTGCTAATAGAATTCCACAGAGCCCTTCTAATATGGTAATCTTTGTTTGCATGAACTGCAGCCACAATCCAGTCCCGATTAGCAGCACAAAGTTCACCAATTGCACATTGCTCACTAGCATCCCATAAATAAAAAACAGAAATGTCCAGCCTCCAGGAGGCCAAAATTCTTCCAGATTTGCCTCTAGATAGGTGAAAAATAATCCCAATGGTTGCCAATTATTTTATCAACATCCTTCATGCTGACATCCACCATGGTTGCAACAATACCCACAAAACAAGATTTCTGCTCACCAAGATAGTGATGCAGGTTGTTCGCCATAGCCTCCTGCTTATCAATACTTCCTTTGCTGTTCTTACTCGGAGACCAAGCCTCACCACCTTTAATGTCTGATTCACCCATCATCCTTTTCTCATTCGCTGAACCACCATCTCCATCCTTCCACAATCCTTCTCCTCACCAACTGCCAAGTCTTTTTGGTGCGAGAAGGTACCCCCCCCCCCCCCCCCCCCCCCCCCCCCCCCCCCCCCCCCCCTCCAAAACCAAAATTCAATATTGTGATTTGTTTACTTCTTTGTGTGCTTGATTTGATGTGGTTTTTTTCGTGTGTGCATGCAAGTGGAAGTGCTTTATACATTGGATTGGGTGTTGGTTTTGATAGCGTCCACATTTCACGGAAGATGACATTTCCATTAATGCCATTTGTGCAGGTTTTACAGATTTTAACAGATGGAGCAGTTCCCTCTCAAGAATTGATCTCATCTGTTAAGAGGTTATATAACTCCAAATTGAAGGTATAAATTTCTTCGTACTTTAACATGATGTTATGTTATCATGCTGTTATATTTGGTTTATGTCGGTTGCAGGATGCTGAAATTCTTATTCCTATATTATCATTTCTTTCAAAAGATGAGGTAATTATGATACTTCCATGTCTCTTTGTTTATTTTACATAATTTGCATGCAACCTGAATCATGAACTAAAATAGGTGTTCTGTAATATGTTAATATGTTCTGAAGCCTACTAGACATTACCTTGTTTGATGAGGCAGAGTTTGCTTAGTATTTCTTATGTTTAGGTTATGCTGTCATCAATGAATTGAGATATGATGCACATGGATTTCACAAGTTTAACTTGATTGATCTTATTAGGATTGAAAATCTGTTGTTTTTGCTCGACTTTAAGTGTGGTGAATTGAAACTTACAATATTGGTTTGATTTTGGAGGATTACGAGGAATTGTGAGGAATTATTTATTTTTGGTACTTCTTGGGCTATAAAGAGGACCCACCAGGAGGCTGCAATTGAGCATTGAATAATGAAATAAACACCAGTTTTCCTCTTAATTGTGATCATGCAATTGGTATGTGTGCGTGATCAAAGTTTCATTAAGTATGATACGTGACTAATGCAATTTATTTGGTGTGAATCTTGATAATTGTAAAATTTATATTCACTCAGTTTTTTTTGTTAAATTTCAAAATTTGGCGGCTATTAAATTATTATTTGGAATGAAGCAAGCATGTTTGCTTATTTTGCATCAAATGTGACTAATCTTTGTTAAGATTGAAAATTGGGAATATACGATTGCTGTTCTTTTGTATGTTTTCTTACGTATCTCATCTTAGATTTTTCATGAATGAAATTTTGACTATTAAGAGTTCCTACATAAATTTGGTTTCGTAGCTTACAATATTTTTTTTGGAAGCAACTAAATTTTATTACTAGTTAGTGTAAAAGATAAATTACAAAAGGCTACAACCCATATTGACAAAAGAAAACATATCAGATGACATTAATTAAAATAAAGCGAGTAATGACATCTTAAAGAAGTGGATCATGCCAACTCAACCATCAGCCAAGTCCAGCATACCAAATTATCAGCAGAGATATTTGCTTGGAATCTTAAAAGAATGGGAGACTAGAGAAATACTTTATTCCGATTAGTGCCTCAATGAGAAAATATCAAGCTAAAATCTTTTATCAATTAAATCAGCTGAACTTTTAATAGAATCTTAAGACTGAGCTAATTTAAAATCATCAAACCGTTCACTCTAAAACAATCTCGTGTAGTTTTAATGTATTTGCTATTGTATCTATTTCATAGGAAATAGTAAAGTAGTAGTAAGATTCTCTGAAGGCTGACTATTAAATCTCAGTTGTCCCTTGCACATGATCCCACAACCAAGATGAGAATCCTTGGGAGGCTCACCTGGATCACGCCGATCTTTATTAAATCCCAACCTTCCCTTGACACTCGCTCACATGGCTAAGATGGGAATCTGTGGGAGGCTCACCTGGATCATGCCGATCTTCTTCTATATTTGGGTGGCTGATTCAGCAAAAGGATTATATTAGAGAAATTATGCATGATTCTATAATTATTTGTTTCTTTATTAAGATATTTTGTATAGATTTATAAATAGGGATAATTTTTTGCAATAAGGAGGTAGCCTTTTTCCCTCTCCAATTCTCTGAATTTAACATGGTATCAGAGCAAGGCATTCAGATCTTCTTCAAAAACGAGAGCGTACAGAGGGTGAGTTGTTTCTTGCGTTATGCTCCTGCTCGTGTGCATCCAGGGTGTCTGAACAAGTAAGATGGCTTCCCCTTTGCGGTCTTCTGTGTGTGGCTCTCATGCGTTCCTACCTAGGGGCCGAACCATGTGAAGAAGAGGATCAAGAGGGAGAGTGAGCAGGAATTGCGTGCGTGCGTGCATGCGTGTCTGAGCTGAGATGACCAACCCTCGTGCGTGTGCTGGAGACAAAACTAGCAAGGAACAAGCGGTTGAAGAGCTATTATACATGCCATCAAATCCTCCACTTGAAGAGCCCCTCCTTGCCCCAAATCCTGATTGCTTCTACATGTTCCTGATCTATTACCCTCAGATCTAGGAGATGTACAAGAAGGCTGAAACCTTCTTCTGGATAGTAGAAGTCGACCTCTCCCAAGATCTCAGCCAATCAGATTAATCCCTCAAAGCGGACATATGCCACTTCGTAACCCACATTCTTGCCTTGTTTCGTTGCCGCTGACAAAATTGTCATTGAGAATCTTGCCGGTTGGATTTGAACTGAAGTCAGTTCGTTTGATTCGAAGCTCGCTGACAATGTTTAAAATTGCGTATTCAGGTATTGAGGCGTTTTTCATTCGTGAGGCGAGGCGTAAGCCTCAAGGTGTTTTGAGGCGTAAGTCTCAAAATCAAAAGATTGCGTAAACATAAAATGATAAAATTTTTATATACTAATGAGTGAATAATATAAAATATAAAAAAGCATAAGATATGAAGTGAAATCAAAATATCTCAATAATAAGACAACATAAAATATAATTCAACTCAAAATTCTATCTTTCCCAAATCCCAGTATTCTTTTCATCAACATATAATTCCAATTTCCAAAAATAAATAGCAATGAAATATCACATAAGAACTCATAACTCATCAGCACTGTTATCACTAAGGGGTTCTTCATTTGAATCATCATTATGGTGAACTGCTCTCCCCCCTTCCTCCTATCCTATAGAGTCCAATGTCGGGCATTTTCTTCAAAATTTTTGTAAGTTTTAATATATATAGCGTGAGGCGTAAGCCTCATGCCAGTGGCGAGGAGGGGCCTCAAAGCGGGCCTCAACCAAGTTGAGGCGCAAGCCTCATAAAAAAAACTCGAGGCGTAAGCATCGAGGCGTTTTTTACTTGAATTGCGCAAAGGCGGGCATCAAGGCGAGCCTCATATTGCGCAATTTTAAACCATGCTCGCTGATGGAACGATCATGATATGTGGAGTTTCCCAGACGATGCATGCGATGAGGAAGAAGATGGTTTTCTTTGTGGTAAGGTAGTTCATGTTATGATCCAATGCGTGCTTACGGTGATTGAAGATATGGTGAGCATGCAGATGGTGAAGTACGCTACTTACTTAAGTATGGAGTCGATTGTGGATATCGACGGTGAGGCTACAAAGAGATTAGAAGCACTTTATCCTATCCTGAGGGAACTCGCTCTTGTTGGTTCTCCTAGTTTCCCCCACCGGCCTTCATTGCCAGAATTCTGAGGAATGCAGGTTCCCACCACTAGCATTCATTATTGAAATTCTAAGGAATACAGGTTACCATCACATTTTTTTATTGCCAAAAATTTGAGGAATACAGATTCCCACCACCAGCCTTTATTGCTAGAATTATGAGGAATAGCAATCCAAATGCCCTACGTGCACCGGCATGCCCTTTTAGTTTTCACATAAGACCAATTCATTGAAAATCGCCGGATTTTCATGAATTTTCTAAGGGGAAGCAAACATGGGATTTTCTTTGGTTTGGAATTTAAAATGCAAGGGATTCTCGGAACCTAAGGCACGGGGAGTGTCAACCATACAACCCTTGGCCAAAAGACCTAAGGATTTTCTATGTTTGAGGTTTTACCTTGCCGGGATGAATCACAGCGTAAGCAGATATCATCTCATCTTGCAATCAAGGGAAACAACATAATGGAAGGCGAAATCTGTTGTCTGATACGTTCTGAAAGTTGCTCCGGCTTTCACGAACTCGCCATAGATGATTTTGGGGGGAGAGAGATCGTTCTACCCTTCTCTAGCTGCAGTAGAATGGAACTACTGCAGGCACTCAGACTCCAAATGCCTTTACAATCTTCCTTCTTCACTTCCCTCCACTTGATTGCTGGAAACACAACCCTCCTTTAAACTGTAGCTTCCGCCCCTATTTGGAAGGGTAATAATAGCAGGAAGAAACTTCCCTTTCTCAATAAAAAGGATGAAAGAAGAAGAAGCTGTAGGTGGCGGCCCTTCTTATTTTCGCCCTAGATATCCACTCAAGATCTACGCTCGATCCCTCATGCTTTCTTGCTTAGCCGGCCGTTGCAAACAGACTTGGTCTCTTGTTCTCGGTTTTCCCAGTCGAAGTCGGAAGTTGTCTCGTAGTCGCTCGTCTATGGATGCCGTACGCGTGCTAGGAAGCCGAAGCAAGGGGGCCAAACTTCTCTGGTTTGCTTGCTCAGCTCCGCACACAGGAGGCTTGCTCTCCCTCATGCTCTTGTTCGCTTGGGGACGCATGAAAGAAGCAGGTTAGGCCGAATGCCCCTATTCCATTGTTTAAAATTGCGTAATATGAGGCTCATCCTGAGGCCCGCCTTGGTGCAATTCCAGTGAAAAATGCCTCGAGGCTTACGCCTCGAATTGTTTTAATGAGGCTTATGCCTCAGCTTAGTTGAGGCCAGCCTTGAGGCGCGCCTTGCCTCGCTGGCATGAGGCTTACGCCTCACCCTATTTATATATATTTTTTATTAAAACATACATAAATCCTAAGTTCCGAACAAATCAAACGTTCATGCACACTCGACTCGCAGCAACTTCCTCAACCTCCTTCCTGTCGCCTTCGCCACAACCACCACTGTCATAGCCGCGGTAAATAATCACTTGAAAGTTGCAAACCACCACTACCATCACCTCTAAAAGTTTTGGAGTATTAATCTCATCTTTTAGTTGATGAAAAAATATTTATGAATAAAGAAGATGCCTGAAATAAATGAAGAAGAAGTATATTGGGAGATATTAGACTCCATAGGATGAAATAGGAGAGAAACCAATTTGTTATAATAAACATTTTAATAAAGATCCCTCAGTAATTATAGAACATGATTTTTCAGTTGTTGCCAACTATTTCAGACTTTTTTAGAAATTAAATATAGAAGAGTACGGAACTAAGAAAGAATTTGGAGTTGACTTAATGTTATATGATATTTATGCAATTTTTATATTTAATATTTTTTTACTCATGTAATATTTGTATTTCAATTATATTTCATGAAATTTATTAGTAGCCACTTTATGTCTTGTGCAATTTTTTTTTTCATATGTATGTCAATGTGTTACTTCATAGTTCAATAGAAAGATAATATTTC